GTTAGTTGCAGCCCTAATTACAGTGCTTGCAAAAAGCAGTTTTAAGTGGACATTATGAGTTAATTGCTCGGAACATGTTTTAATCTAATAATCCATTAATTGACAATTAATTGTAAGTCTCCTATTTTTTGGCATCCTGAGTTTGAAGTGTGGAAAAAGCAGAGAAGGTTCATAAACAATCCTTACGATGAGGATGGCCACGAAGCAGGCCAGAGTGGTGTTCCAGTCTCCTCCAGTCGCTGCAGCTTTTCCAACCAGGACGCTGTAGAAGATGAAGTCTCCCAGCCCCAACTTCACGCCCCCTGTAGATACATCATCATTATCATCATCATCATCATCATCAACCAGCTAGGCGCTAACCTGCAGCGGCTTTACTCACGTTCCTCTTCCAGCTCATCTTCCTGCGTCTGATTTGGTTGTCGGCTCGCAGGCACTTCCCTCCTGCTATTTAGCTCCGCCTCGTCATCTATAAGAGAGGGTTGCCATAGAGACAGCATTTAACAGAACAAATGAAGGGGACATTCCTTAGGTGTGATGGCTGACCTGTGTCGGAGTGCTGAGCATCAGACGGATTGGCCATGGTCACCGTCCACATCATGGCGGCTGCAGAAAGGTCAACAACAGCTTAAAACAGGCTTTTTTCCTGCTGCTCAACCAATCAGAGACCTCGTTTGGACCGGTAGTTGAAATGTGGTCCATCCCTAAGATAACAGCAGAGAACTCACAGGAGTAGATGAGGGCGGGGAAGATTGGTTCGTTCCGCTCCTGGGCCGTTTCCACCAGCATCCGGAGGGGTCCTTTAGGACTGAGGACGGCCACGAGGTCTGCAGCAAGGCATGATGGGAGAGTAAACAGGAAAAGAATAGACTTANAGAACCAAAACTCACCCCAGATACATGAAGCTAAACCAGAAGAGCAGCATGAGGGAAGACAGGATGAGCCATCCATGGATAAACTGAGCGATAAACAGAAGAAGAAACACAGCGTCAGCCTGAAATGAACTTCAGATTCAGAACCAAAGATATAAGATGAACGGACCATCAGCCACTTCAGAGGACTAGCATCCCGGTGCTCTGCATGGAATCAGTTCTAGTTCTATGCTGGGGTTTCTGAGATCC